CCCTTCCCTGACATCCTTCCCTTCCCTTCCCTTCCCTTCCCTTCCCTTCCCTGACATCTTTCCCTTCCCCGAGGGAAAGGTGCCCCATGCAAAATAAATCTGTATCCTGCTGAGAATTCCATCTGTGCCTCGGTGCCTTCATCCATCCCCTCGTGCCTTCCTCCATCCGCGCCGCGAAATCTGTATCCCGCTGAGAATTCCATCTGTGCCTTGGTGCCTTCATCCATCCGCTTGTGCCTTCCTCCATCCGCACCGCCTGCTCGCTCCCGCCCGACGCTCTCTATCTATCACCCCCTATGCTCCCTAAGACTCCTCCAGAGTTCAAGATGATCTTGCAGTTAGCCTGGGGCCTTGGTCCCTGCTCTCTAGACTACAGCACCTCAAAACAAAATAAAGAATACTGTTTTCATATGTAAAAGGGGCTTTTGAAGATTTCTTCAAGCTCTGGAACCAGAGTCTCCGTATGTTATGTGCATAATTATACATGAATCCTGCCCATCGTGTGTCTGTCTTTCATAATGTAGAGCATTTTGAAAGTCAGATTTCTATCTCACATTCATGAGTCGCTTTATACAGTCCTGAAAGCTGTGACCATTACTGTGGGTTGATTGTGAATCTGAACCATGAAAATGAGACCTCCACAGATGTACCAAGTAAAGAATAGTTCACCCCAGATCAGAAGGAAAGAAGGGTATGAGGTCTAAGACCCTCAAGGAGATGGAGTCCACATGAAGACAGAGGCAGAGATTGGGGTCACTGGGCTACAAGACAAGGATGGCTACAGGAGATGGTGTAGGTCTTGTCCCTACAGCTATCAGTGGAAGCAGAGCCCTGGTAACATGGATTATTTTAGCTTCTGAGCTATGAGAGAATCAGTTTCTGTTGTATTAAAGCACACAGCTTCTGGCCCTTTGTTATAGCAGCCCTCAGAAACTAATAGTCACTTAGTATGAGTTCACTGCTATGGGTAATCTTATGGGGCCCACGAGTTAATGCAATTATATTCAGCCATTAATATTTTGAGAGAGGTAGGTAGTAACCATTTCCTATTTTCAAGTGCACTTTCTGCAATTTTCAAATCTGATAGGTATCAGCTCCCTTCCTTTTAATTAAGAAAATATTCACCCCTTCCTCCTCCCCCTCCTCCCCCCTCCTCCTCCTTTTCCTCTCCCTCCTCCCCCTCCTCTTCCTCCTTTTCTTCCCTCCCTCTCTACTTTCCCCCATATCACAAGGCTGTTGGACCACCATTCCAGAAAGGGCACCTATACTATTCCAGCACAGTTAAGAGTTTAGGTCATGTCTTTACATGCTGGGTTCTACTTCTTCCATGAAAATGTGATCAGCTCTGTTGACTTTCTTGGGTATCTATGAAATTTGGAATATATATATATATATATATTTTCAAGGCTTGTACAAAGAGAGAATTGGATTGTTCTACTATAAGCTTGGTTCTTGAAGCAATAACCGTGGAACCAGCAGCAGAGGGCAGTCGAGGACACTATGTAGTAGAAGAGAGGCAGCAAACCCCAGGGAAAGGTCAGCCTGTATTTTGAGGATGAAAATGGGCAGTAGGTTGAAAACCTCTGAGTAAGTCCAAGGTTACTACTGTCTACCCTAACCATGCTTGCTTTCCAAAGGCCAAGAAAAGGGAAAATGAAAGTCAGAGCAAGACAAACTTAGGACCACTAAAGTCACACTGTAAGAGTTGAAGGACTGACTTCAGCAACATTTCTGAGGGCTGAGAAATTCGGGAAAGAATATCCAGTTTCTGTTCATTGTGCAGATCCCATAGTCCAAGCCTAGAGACAGCCTGCCTGATACTAATGACAGGGAGTAATTTCTTGTAGTTCCTATGTCATATGCTGAGAACAGGAGGTAGAACTGCTCAGGCAGTGTAAAAGACCTCAAAAGAAAAGTAACCCGTTTCTTTCTTGGCTGACAACTGGAAATTTTGGGGGGCCTGCCAGTACACTTTTCCTTGCCTGAGGCCAGAGATGCCAGAAGTTTCTAAGCCAAAGGTGTCTCTGGTTCTGTCATGGCCAGAGGCTGGGGATGTCAGAAAGCAGGATCTGTTTTTTTGTTATCTCTTTTCTCTAAAGAAGTAACCTGCTCCTGGAAGGACAGGACAAAAGATGCAGGGACTTGGACACCAGGAGTGGGAACTGGACTGACCAGTTCATCTCTCCGTTTCCTTCTCCCTCCACTAAAGCCTTATTAATTCCAGAGCAATGATGGAATCCCACTCCTGGGGACACCTTCCACTGTGCAGGAAGTCTGCCTTCCTTCTCCTCATCTCCCTATAATAAAATACTTCTTTCTAAAACTTATACTCTGTGGTTCGTGAATTTCATTCTCTGAATTCATGAGACAAGAACCTGAAAGCCTCCAGCTTGAGGTGCTTTGGTGGTGACTTTCTGGGACCCTAGCCTCTCAAGCCGTTGCTCTCAAACACAGCCCAGTGAACCCTATATCAAATATGTCAACAACCGAGGCTTTCCAAGTCGGTAGGAATAAGGGCTTTGAAATAAAAGGATAGGTAATAAAGACAAACTATGGAAAACAATCTATAGCCCAAACTGACCAATCTTCAGCAGCAGCGACCTTAAACAGAGGCATTTCCAAGCTGCAACATGGACAGCCCAATTGTCCTTGTCTTTGGTGTCCTTGGTGAAAGGATGGCCAGGACATGGAAGCCTACAGTGAGCTAAAAGGGCAGGAATGCAAATGTTCCTTCCATATGTTCCCTTACCTCTTGTCGGAGATGACCCTATGATGTGGACAGATGGGGCAGCCAGGGTGCTCAGATGTGAAGGATGAAGTGTCCTACCAGGATCCCAAACTGAGATTGAGGATATGATCAGTCTGACTCAAAAGAGAGACAGGGCACCAGCCATTGTACACATCTGCACTGCAGGTCCCCTTCATGCCAGGCCGCAGGACAGCCATGTCTCGGGGCCAGACGATGATGCTAGTCCAGGTTTGGGAAAAAGGGTAGAGAATGTGTTTTTGCCACCTTTTGCCACCAGCAGCCACCTGACAACAGAGCTTAAGCTATCACACGGCCTCAGAACAACACTAGTGTGCTTTTATAAGAAGAATGTGATGGAGCCAAGGTGGGTAGAAATAGGATGATGGGATGACCCCTATAATCTGTGGTTTGTGTTGAGTTTCTCCAGAGGAACTGACAGATGACCTCTGTCGTCTACTGGCAGTAGACAGACCTGGGCATGGGGAAAACCCCTTGGGATGGTAGAAAGGGTAGTAGGCACTGCTCAGCGATAAAGGCTGGCCTTGGAGGCCCTTCACCTGCCTTTAGGATAAATCCATTATCAGCTGTACCTACTGCTACAGCAGAGGGGGCAGGAGTGGCTGTTGTCTGTTTCCATCTCCGTTGAGTGAACCTAGAACCTCTTCCAGGGTATGACATCACCAGGAGCAAGCCTGGGACCTGAGAGACCAGAATGCCACAGCAGAGCTTAGACCCTCCTATGGCAGAGTGTTGGCAAAGGTAGAAATACATTGTCTAAATCTACATATAGCTGTTTTTGGTCAGTCTTTGGAATATCACAGTCCACACATATGACAGCAGTTAGGTCAGAACCAAATTCTGGGTTTGTACAGTTATTTAACCCAGGCAACTTCTTTACAATCATCCTGTTTTTGTCCTCATTGAAGTAAAAGTGAAGTATTACTGTTAGCTACTTTTTGTCACTGTGGCAGATATGTGACAATTTGAAGGCAGGATTATTTTAATCAATGTTTCACTGCATTGAGGCAGGGCAGTCATAATGCATCTGAACAGCCCACAACACCGTGGCCAGGAAACAGAAAGAGAGACAGAAGGTTGGGACACAACACAGCCGCCAAGGCCCTGTTTCCTCCAGTGAGGTCCTACCTCCTAGTTCCACAAGCTCCCAAATAGTGCCACCAGATGGGATCAAGTGTTCAACACATGCGTCTTTGGCAGGAACAGTTCATATCCAAGTATAACAATTAATTTCAAAAGGTCTGTTTCTAGAGGATGGAGAGATGGTGCTGCAGTTAAAAAGCACTGGCTGCCCTTGCACAGAACCAGGGCACCAGTTCCACATAGTGGCTGACAACTGTCTGTAACTCCAGTTCTAGGGGATCTAACACCCTCTTCTGGCCTCTATGGGCATCATACACACATGGCACACATATACATGCAGGTAAAACATTCACACACACACACACACACACACACACACACACACAAAGAACAAAAATAAATAAATGAATGAATGAATAAATAGAAATTTTAAAAGGAACATTTCTGAATGTAGACTTTATATTCAGGTCATCACCGCCACGCCACCTCAGAACAGTGCTTGCTTACCTTTCCTGGGCTTCAGTAATGTCCTTGGCCATCACCTCAGTCATGCCCTGTGCTGGCTGGTCCTGGATACCACAGTCATTATACCCCCTTCTGCTCTCACTCACTGGAAGACACAGTGCAATGAAGGCACTTGAGGCTTCTGATCTCTGAACGCATCATACATAGGGAAAAATGATATGCTTAAACAATAGTTTCTTAATCAAACAACTTTACGTCCCTGATGTAGATAACTTTCTTCTTAGGAGTCATGTTTTATTTAGGTCTGAATCTTTGTGTGACTGCTTGAAATACATCAACTACCCAAGTGAGAGAAACTGTAGCAAAAAGTCACAGCTAATCAGAGACCAAGCATCCCAGGAACTAGACCACCACACACAAGCGCATCCACCAGGCAGAGTCACAGGGTACAACCTAGGCTCCTCCACCTTCTCTCCCATGGCATCCCCTCTTCTGGGGGATGAACAGTGTGGGTATCACTCATTCAGTTTCCTCTGTCACCTTTCAGAGGCTGAGACCAGGTCCTCTGGGGTTGGAAACTTTATTTCTTTTTAAAGCATTTGCTCTCCTAATTCTAATTTACATAAACTTTTTAACCTTCATGGACATTTTGCAAAACTTGGTTTTATGTTGTCTTACCTAGAAAATTACAAAGTCCTTCCCAGGAGAAGTGTTTGTTTGTGAATTTGTATTTAACTCCGGAGGAAAGTGGCATCCAGCAGAGCAAGTGGGAAGGCTTCAGGTACAAGCCCTTTTGCAGGTGGGAAAAGAAAGGAGCCCTGGTGGGATTGGGGAAGAGCCTGCTGGGGTGGGTGTGTTTAGTAAATCTGCCTGTATTCTGTGTTTGCTGGAGTTGCTGCAGGTCCACAGGCTGAGTAAGCAGAGCCTCTCTCTCCCTTAGAGGGTTCAAGGGTCCGCTGTTGATTTAACAGTGTCCTGTCCTTCTGAAAGCTGGTGGTTTCTAATCTCTTCCCTTCGTGTCTTAGCACATCTGGTTTTCTCCCTCCCATGTTCGTTGGGGGTAAGTGCAGAGATTTGGGGAAGTGTGTACCTCCCAGCTTTATCAGTGACATGACTTCAGTGCACCTGTACCCAAGGAATGGGTGAGTTGCAAATTGGAATTCTTGTATAAGCAAAGTCTTGTCTCTCTGTCTAATACCCTCTTGGATGCCTTGCTATCAGATCTAATGCCTCAGGTTCAAAGTGAGTCCCTGAGGAAAGACACCAATTGCTGGGCATCTACACCCAGCACCGGAAACTGATGGTCACCTTGCTGTTACCCTTGCCCTTCTCTGAGGCTGTATGTAATGATGGCAACAAATTCAAGGTTTTGTGACATCAGAAACACTAACCAAGGCTCCAGGAAATGACAGGAGTGAAGAAAGTGGAAAAGTTCGGGGAAGAAATGGGACTTTCCTGTCCAGTGTGGGAGCCACAGTCACTCAAGGATGCTGGAGCTTAAATAAAATAAAGTCAAAACTTATCCATCCCCATCCCCATCATTAGGCAGCTGCTGTGACTCAACTGTAGCAAACAGAAATGGCCATTGCCACAGAGCGCCCTAGTGACTTGTGTTGAACGGGGCAGCTCACTCCTCTTTCTTGCAGTGATGTGGGTCTGTATTCTCAAACTGAGCACATCTAGCTTAAGGGATGGAGCTAGCTAGTTGCCCACACACTCAGCCTGATTCCTCATGGCCTGAGATCTGCTGGGCTCTTTGCTGGGGTGACAGGGAGCACAGAGCAGAGGCAAACTCACATTGGTGAAGTTCTACAGACTAGTCCAGCTGCAAACATCCTGGATGTGGTTAGTGCAATGGCTTCTAAAAAGAGCCCTTTAAGAAACCACGACCTCAGATCCTCATTGAGGAGACATCAAAGACTCAGCAGGCTCCTACCTGCCCTATTTAGTGGAGAAAAGGGAACAGAAAGGAATTGTTTCATTTCTTGGCAGGAAATTAATCTGCAAGGACAGAAACCCTGCTGGAAGGAGCCTCAGAGTTTCCTGGGAGGCAAAGAATGAACACAGCTGTCACCTCCCTTTGGCCTTTGTTAAGCTTTGAACAAAGCCATATCTTTAGGCTTCTTTGAAAGCATGAATTTTATATTTAATACACAACTTTTGACATATGACTTACATAAGCACTTAGGATTCCTTCTTACTCCAGAAAAGGTTTAAGGCGTTTAAACTGTCTGCAATTCAAAGGATAAATGAATACTTGAAAGTAGGTAACATTTCCTGAAGAGTTCAACAGTCTAACTGAAACATTTGTTTACACAATTCACAGTATAAAGGCTGCGGGTTTCAAGGGCAGAGTGCTGCGGAGAAGGGGCCCTCAGAGACTTGGCATGGCACTTAATGATGTAACGTTCAGACATGGGAGAAATACATTTGCAAATGCGACAAGTACATAATAAACCACAGATAACTCCAGAATGTTTGCATACAGCAGTCGACTTTACTTCCCAGGTCTTGAGCCAGGGGTTCTGATTAGTGTGACCTCATGACCCACAGGCCTGGGCCTCTCACTCTCAAACCAAACCTGCTGGGAAGGCACCGAAGGGCCACTGTCATTGCACCTTCTCATTCATAAACAGCTGCACAGGCTGATGCATCTTAGGCAGCAAAACTGCCATCACATTTCTGGTGTTCCTAGAGACAACCATTTCTATCCATTGCCTGTCTTTAGATATTCTGCATCTTTTATAGCACCTCCTGGAGTCTCAGCCACACTCAGGGTCCCATCACACATAGCACATCAATCACAGTGTCTGGGTAAATCATGGCAAAAGAGGAGGGAGGAGGATTACTAAGACTGTGGTAGAACTGAAACTCACCATTGGTTGAGTTGGTTCCCGGAGGGAGCAGCACCAAAGAGAGCAAGGCCCAGGCTCCAGTGAGCACCCTCCATCCCATTCCCAGGCAGCCTGCTCCCATGGGGTCTCCTGCTCAGCATCAAGATCACAGTTGGCTCTGCTGCAAGTACAGATGGGGGAATGCACACAGAGGGTCCAGGTGCAGCCAGGCCTGGCCCTTCCCCAGGGGACTTCCCTGCCTTTCATTAGCATATTGGAGACAATGAACCAATCACAAGTTCCCTGAGTAACATCGTTGCTCAGAGAAGCATTGGGTTCCCCAACAGCTGTAAGGCTGTTTCCCCTAAAGTGAGCATGTTCCAAAGGACAGGGGACAATGTGTAAACCCCCTGTGAGGCTCAACAGTGGCTCTAACTATAGTAAACAGAGTGTTAAAGTGTCATGACTTTGTGAAAAATAGTGGGGTGTGGCAGGGTATCAGGGAGGACTTTTATGGCCCTTTTTAAGTCACAGAAAGCAGTTTGGTTACATCTGGCACTAACTGTGGGAACTTCAACAATATTAGTGTAGCTCCATGATACATATAGCATGAGAAAGAGAGAGAGAGAGAGAGAGAGAGAGAGAGAGAGAGAGAGAGTTTTCCCCTCTCTTTATAATCTTCCATGCTTCTCACTGACTTCATCAGCTGAATGATCAAGCACCTCAATATGCTGCCACCAGCTGCCTTTGCCCCTTTCACCGCCTGGCTCATAGATACCATTCTCTAATGGTTCCCTTTCTCTGGCCAGCACCACTGGCTTGATGGGTTTGTCAAGGGTTGATGTCAGTATTGTAGGGTTTAGTAACCAGTTTTTTCTCTCTCAAAATGCATTGAGAGCACAGGGAATTCACATCACCATTTTTAAGTTATTCTAATGCTCTTGTTAAGAAAAGCACAACATACATATACTGCACTACATCTGCTAGTCTAGATGATATACATATTATGAACCTAAAGTGCAAAGGAAGGCAGACTCAGGACAAGTCCCATGTCCAGGGCATGGTCCTCCTGTAGCCCTGAGATGGAGTCACTGCTGTTTCTCCATCCAACTAGTCCAGTGAGAAAGAAAGCCCACTGGTTATTTAGGACAAACAAACAAGTCACATTGAGCTTTATGTTCTCTGAAAATTTTATTGAACCAACCTAAGGCTTGGGGAACATTTCAGAAAAGGAGGCAGAAAGAATATTAATGCATCTCTCAACTCTCACCAGCAAAGCTTCCTCATGCAACAGATGGTGATTAGCCTAGAAAGCAACAACTGGTCAAAGTGCAGAGAAAAAGAGGCTGCAGAGTGCTTGTCCCTGAGTAGAATACCAAACCAAACCTCTGCCACCTAAGGCCCACGGACCATTGTGGCAGAGGGGGTGGAAAGACTGTGCGACTCGGGGTGGTAGATGACCACAAAGGTAAGAGTTTTCCAGGAGGCTGGGAAGTTGCTTACATGAACTCAGAACAATGGTGACAGCATGCACAGGACCCATGCAAGCTCAAACCAGACAAAAACCCAGCATAGAAGTGGGGAAATGGGTAAGAAGCCCAACCTTAGCTGAGGAACTATTGGCAAAGGATGACTACTGAGGGAGGGACAGTCGGTTTTCTCTAAGGGATTGACACTAGATAAGTTGCTCGGGCTCCAATTGATGGACTCACGCTGAGGGACATTCTGGGAAAACAAGGATGGCACAATAGGCCTTAACATATATGACAGAATGCAGAAATCCAGTGAGGGGATACAGAGGGTGTGGGTAGGGGAGGGGGTCTAAATCTGATCAAGATGTATGAAATTCACAAAAATTCTGTTAAAAATTTTAAAAATCTAAAAAATGTATTCAGGAGTGTTTTGCCTGCATGTATATATGTGTACCATGTGCATGCAATGCCTGCAGAGGCCAGTAGAGGACACTGGATCCCCTGGAAATGAGAGTTACAGATGATTGTTAGCTGCCATGTGGGTACTCTGAACCCAACCTGGGTCCTCTGCCAGAGCAGCGTTTTTTAAATTGCTGAACCATCACACTAGCCCCTGTGCATTCCATTCTGGACTTGAAAATATGGCACACTCCAGAAGTTGGTGAAGGCTGGGGTGCCTTGGAAAGCCTCAGCATGAACACAAACTGGGACGGTGTTGAGAAGTCACTAAGCCCCAAAACCGCCCTCCAGTGAGGGATCCCTATGCCTCTGCCTCCTCAGCAGTCATGTGCTCTGTGACGAAGTGAACAGAATGAAGTATGAAAACCCAGGGCAGATGCTGGAGAGTTGGTCCTGGTTCTTGCTCTTTTCTGGTCACCTGCATTTCTTCCCCTTCAGGTGGGAACCCCACAGGAAACCTAGACAGGGTATCACCTATGTGTAAGGAAGGTAACCACACAGGTGGTTTACTTTAAATGAAAACTGGTATGGCAAAAGTAGTTAGGATGTTTATGCAGATGCTTCTACAGAGCTTAAACTTTTAGCAATCCTAGGCCAGGAACAGAAGGTTGTCTGTAGAGCCCTAGGGTCACTGGGTGCTGTCATGGTATACTGGGTACACTGACCAAACCTCCCAGAGTGGCAGAAGTCACTAGGTCTGCTGGGAACTCATGGCCATCAGTTCTAAGATCAATTTCTGGCTTAATTTTTTGTAAGGCTTATGAATGCTGACACATACTTCCTACTTAGCAACTGGCCTAAGTAGTGTATTTCCTTTAACTCCAACCAGCACAGACACATAGTCTTATTAGGAGGCTGACTGACTTGTTGAGGATTAGGGGATTGGGAAGAGCCAAATCCTAGTCCTGGGTGCTAGAGTGTAGCATCTAGCATTGTTCGCAGACTCTGGACTCTGGGCAGGTGGCTTCTCTTGACCCCACTATCCCATGGCTGTCTCCTTGCTATTGCTCAGTGATTTGTGAGGTGCTCTGGCTGGTCTCTCCAAGAATCCTTAGGACTGAAAAATCCTAATGAGAACTCAGCTCTTTCTATAGACCTTGTTAAACACTGAGACTCGGCTACTGCTATAGTTTAGATCTGGGATGACCCCAAAGCCCAAGTGCAGATTGATCTCCAGCCTGTAGGGCTGCTGGTATGTCCTGGGACTTGTAGGATGTGGGGCCCCAGGGAAGTCCTGGTCACTGGGAGTGTGCCCTTGAATGGAATCTACCTGCCACAGGCCCAAAGCAAAGGCCAAGTGACGACACTGAAACCTTTGAAGCAGAGTCAAAATAAATCTTTTTATTAAAATGCCCTTGAATGGAATCTACCTGCCACAGGCCCAAAGCAAAGGCCAAGTGATGACACTGAAACCTCTGAAGCAGAGTCAAAATAAATCTTTTTATTAAAAATCACATCTATCTATCTATCTATCTATCTATCTATCTATCTATCTATCTATCTATCTATCTATCTATCTATCTGTCTATCTATCATCTATCAATCTAATCTATCATGTCTGTCTGTCTGTACCACAATGTACATGTAGAGATCGGAAGAAAACTTGCAGGAGTCAGTTCTCTCCTTCCACCATGGGGGTCCTGGGGAAAAAACTCCGGTCACACGGCTTGGTAGCAGGTGCCTTTAAAACCCACTGAACCATCCTGCCAGCCCTAACCTTTCCTCATTATCTCAGGTTTGCTGTCACAGTATCTGAATGCTAACTGCACATTCATGTTGAGTCCGTTCCCACTGGGTTCATGATAAGAAGGGATTCTTTTTCAACATAATACTGCCTTATCATAACTTTAACATGACAAATAAGACTATCTTTCTCCTGTGAAAAATAAAGATGTGCTGTGAAAATTTAGCATAAAGTCTAGTGTCAAGGAAATTGAAATTACCAAATGAATATGTGCAAATAATAAAAATAATAAATTTCAAATAAGAGTCAAATAATACTTATTTTTTAGTCTTGTAAAAATATTTTTGTTACAAAGTTGTTTATGAAATTCTTAGAAAATACATACGGATACAAAGATGGAAACAGAAACATCCAGAATTCACCAGATTCAGTTGTCTACCCCCTAGTCTGCTTTGCCACACTGTATAACCAGCATATCACCAGCTTAGCTTATGTAATAAGCACTTTGTCCCAACAATACTACTCTCCTTAGTATCAGGCTATAAAATATTGCATCAAACCACAGATGATCTAACCAATTCCCTATTAATTCAGTTAAGATTAAATTTTTCCCCATATAATAGTAATAAACTCTGATTAAAACCTGTGTATAAATGCTTATAAGTGTATTAAATCAAAGGGAACACAGCTTCCGAGGTTTCCCACATACAGGAACTAACAAACTGCACTCCAGGACAGTGACAGCAATTCAGACCTGTAATGTCCAAGTGGGTCTGCCTGATTTCTCTCGTAATCTAAGGACACGATCATTCAGAACAACTGATTTTCATCTCCTATTTGAACACTGTCCTTAGATGACTAAAAATCTACAAACTCCAGCTTCCTTTTAGATAAACCCCATCACACAATGCACAGAATCAGAGAGTGACGTGAGCAAAAGGCAGAGGAGGCAGCACTTTGTGTGTGTATTTGTTTAACTGGTGGACAAAGGCAGGAAAGACTAAGTGCAAAAATAAATCCTCTTTTGCAACCCAGAACTCACGGTTCAGTGTGAGTCTTGATACATACAAGCAGGAACATGAAAAAAAAAAGGCAGAGTAGGCACCCCACAGCTTCTCTGTGCCCCCATAATTCAGCAGCAAAGTGACCACCTGAACACCCCAGAACTCCAGAGTGAAGCTGCAGCGCCGCTGGACCACAGACAGTCAGGTAACTTCCCCCAGCCTGCACAGTGCCACACCAGAACTCCCGTATTTGTTTCTACACTGGACAACAGAAATGGGAACTGGGCACTTGGCTTCACCATGTCCCAAGACTTTGCAGGAGGCCTGCTCTGCTCTGGTCTGCTCGCTTCCCATGGGAGAGTGTGAACAGAGCAGGGCTAGCCTACCCAGGGCCATTTTATGACAAACAGGAGGAGAATCAGCAGCATGAACCCCGAGGCTTGGTGTGCCAGAAATGAGCTTAGAGTGCCACTGCTCTGCAATGGCTGCAATGAGTACAGGCTTATAGCCCCAAACAGTCTACTCAGAATTTCTAGATAGACTTAATCACACAAGGCTGACCACGGACAAGTCAGGCTGTGAAGACTGGACAAATAACTGTAAATTCACTATACAGACACTGAGTACAGCTACAGAATGAAAAACATCCAGAACTTCACAGTAGAGAGGATGGCCGTTACCAGAGGCGTGGGTACCTGGGGGACGAGACCAGAGTACACACAGAGGAGTTTTTAAAAGCCACACACAATAGACACACACACACAGAGAGAGAGAGAGAGAGAGAGAGAGAGAGAGAGAGAGAGAGAGAGAGAAACAGTTGCCCAGGAGGGAGAACATCGAGTGAAGGATGAGAGACAACTGAATGGACTGGGTGACAAATAGCCCTAGGAGCAAATTAAAACTTCTGGGTTGCACACTTTGATGTGTGAATTATCTCAATAAAGTTTTAAAATAAAAAAGTAGAGAATGACCTTTCTTAAAAAAATGGATCTTCTGCCAGTTTGACAGCACATACAAAGAAGGTGTCGTCAGACACTATCTGGTGGAAGGAGCAGAATTCCTGCCCCAGGTGCCCAAGAGCAGTGTTCTATGGCAGGTAGGCACTGCACAATAAACTGTCTGGAGATCTGACAGGTAAGCAGGGTCCTGCTGGACCAAGGGAGGGGCCACAGGAGGATAACAAGGCCACCTGGACACTGACACAAGTGGCTGGGTTAGGAATTCTTCTGCATTCTGACCTGGCTCAGGATAGTCTCAAAACAGCTCAATATGACTAGTAAAAGAACCTGAGCCTAGGTAGCCAAGGTGGGGGGAAAGGTGAGGATGGCATGATGGCTCTATCATTTAGGAAAGTTTTCTATAAATCTCTGTCTTAGAGGCTCACGGTATGTCCCGAGACACTGCATTCATTCTGCATGGAGCACATCGTGACTTCTTGCTATAAGACCTGGGGATGGTGCTCGACAAAGCAGCTCTGTGGATTTCCATAAGCTTGTGGCTTTGTTAGCTCTCTCCCTTGATCAGCTCCATGACACACAGAGGGAAGATTCGGTGAACACTGTGCAGACATCTGTGACACCAACTGCAAAGACCAGAGCCACCTGACTGCTTGTGGGGCTGCTTCTCCCTGCCCCCTAACAAAGAAAGCAAGTTCAAGCCACCTGTCTGCTCACTGACATCACATTCAAGCCACAGAGCGAATGGCGAGGCACTAACACTTTCAAAAAGAGATACATGTTTTACAGGGCATTTTCAGAAATTCCATTTTTGCATCATGACTGGGTTTATAATCATAGCCAGACTTATTTTTGTTACAAGTCAAACAGGAGACAAATGCTTTAAAAATTAAAATACCCCTAATTTAAAAATGTTAGTTTAACAAATTTCTACTATATAAATAAACAGTACTACATATCAGAAGAGTTGGGCATGGTGACCCAGGTCTGTAACCTCAGCGCTTAGGAGTAGAAGCTGGTGGAAGGATCCAGCCCAGTCTCGGCTGTAGAAGGAATTCGGAGCCAGCCCAAACTAAAAGAACCTATCTCATGAAAACAGAAAGTGAAAGCAAAAGAGAAATACCCTAAACTTACCAGACATTTAAAGAAATGCTGCTTTTTCTAAAAGATATGAAAAAGCCAAAAAAGAAGTGTTCATTTTTGTTTAATTTCCATTTTTTCATTTTACTCTAAGCGACTTAGGCCTTGCCTCTGAGGTGAGAACGCTGTTTATGATGCCACCTTATGGGACACCGGGCATTTAATTTAAACAGGAAGTCTAGCAGGGTGCTTCAGGGAGAACGAGAAGGTTCATCCTCCAGCGCTGAGCCAGCTCCGCTACTGGAGCACAACAGGACCTGTGCTTAACAGCAGTGCTGATGGCCAGGGCTCAGCTGCCTCACTCAAAATGCACATATGCTTTTAGTATGACAGATCTGATATACAGTGGAAGAATTATATGAAATTATAACCCTGAGGGCTGAGGAGGTAGTTTGGCCTGGCACATACTCAGCAATGGATTTGACCCCAAGCATGCAAAAAAGTAAAGTAAGTTATAACCTAAAACCAAGGTGGACCCAGAGAGAAAATGAGCATGAGACAGCAGGGCAAGCTCAAGAGAACTGCGGTGACTGGGTTGGCTCTCCGGACTCTCGGTACTCAGACTCCGCCAGTTCCCCAAGTTCTCCAATTTCAAAAGCTTTCCAGGTTGTGAGGCTCCACAGGTCCCTGGGCTCCGAGGCTCCGCAGGTTTCCAGGTTCTGTTTCTGCAGGCTTTCTCTCAAACTCTGCAGGTTCCCCAGGTTCTCAGTCTCTGCGGTCACTGAGAAGGAAGTGGGCTCGAGTCTTCAGCAAGTTGGTCAGAGGTTATACATGTGGCAGCCTCCACACTCAGTGCTGAGAAACAAGGCCTGCTGCAAAAGGACAGAGGGCTGTGCATTCTGCAGAGTTCCCAGAGAGGGGAGCGAAGAGATGAGCATGCTCAAATTTGAAAGCAGCTGACTGCTGCACCAGGGACTGAGCTGGAGACTACCCCGGGCAATACTCTTGGAAACTCTGACTGCGGAACCAATTCTCTGTGAGTGGAAAGTTTTGCAGCTTCAATGACAACTACACAAAATCTGGACAGGGCTGCGGTGTCGGTTCAGTGGCAGAGCACGTGCTTAGTAAGCATGAGGCCCTGGTTTCAATCTCTAGCACCAACAAAACAAAGCAACAACAAAATCTATAAAATTCTATCTTTTCTTCTTAATGTCTTAAAAGCAGGGGGAAAAGACATTGAGGAATCTGAAGAAATGTTTATCCCACTGTGTTTTGTTAGTTCCCGTTTTGCTTAAAATACCACAGAGAGATAAGCAGAGTGCAGACTTGTGGTGCTGTAGGACAGACAGCACCTCAGAACATGTCAGCCACTGCTTCTCTCCATGACAAAGGTGTCTGTGCTCTCAGATGTGGTGAGATGGCGCTAGGACAAGGCTGGGATGAAATACTGCAGGGAGACGTCTTCGTGAAGCAAATCAAAATGAACAATCCTGTTACTCACAATATCTGGGGAGAGAAAGACCCAAGGTTTTAAAGATCCAGCTCAGCAGACAGATTTTGATCCCCACCCCTCAACGGCTTGTCCGCCAGTGTCCATTTCCTTCGAGGGTTCCTGCAGAGATCACAGCACTGGCCACTGCCACCCACTGGAGACAGGATGAGAAATGAAGACTAAAGCTACCCAGGCTTTAGGGGAAACACACAAATCAGGCTAATTTAATCAAATTAAACTTCCAGGTAAAAGCAGGTGCTCTCCAGTGAGTGACCAAAGCATACAGAGAAGGGTCAAGCACTTTAAGAAGCTCTTCACAAGCTGTGTGCTCAATGGGATCAGGAGGTGCAAAGGGCCAGGGCAGTGTGCAACCTCAGAGTCAGTACTGTGCCCAAACCATTAATAACCAGCAAATGAGGACATTTGGGTAGTGAGCATAGTTCAAGTGAACAGTGAAAGGAAACAGCTTGAGCTGAAACTCAGATCTACGCAACACTGTGTACGGGGCTCTATGTAAAGTCTGATCAACTCAGCAAGGGTTGATGGGGTGCACTGCCCTGACAGTGTCACAGGCATAGCTCACTGTCCCATAGTGACACGACGTAGCCTACAGTCAACCCAGCATGGCTATGGGCGCTTAGGTACTCACACTGAGCCCCAATGTCATTCTTCTCCAGCCATCTCTAGATACTTCTGGCTCCAGGAAAACTTTATAAGCCTGACTGACCTAGAAAGCTCAACTCCATGTATCCAGGTGTATCTGCAGTGACAAGACTGCATGCAATGTTAGACTAGAGGGAGAATGTGATAAGGGAGAAGCAAACTCACTGCACAAGGCCCTGGTGGGAGTCACTTGTTGTCCTGCAAGAAACTGAAGGAGCTTCTTGATATCCACATGCACCTCAGCCATATCTTCTGGGCGTCTGTCTTGAGAGGTGCTCTCAGAGGCTGAAATGACATGAATGTTTAAAGTTCAGCATCCCTGGACATAATAGGGAACTTGGAATTGTGCCACGCATGATGTCATCAGCCTCACTCCTTCTCTTAGCACTATCCTCGTTTGCTCTCTGCTGTTGGGATAAAACACCAAAATCAACTTGGGGAGAAAAGGATTTCTTACAACTTCTAGTTTGCAGTCCACTGTCAAGGAAAACCAAGGCAGGAGCTTGAGGCAGAAACCTAGAGGCAGGAACTGAAGCTGAAGCCATGGAGGAACGAACATTGCTCACTGGCTTGCTTCCCCTGGCTTGCTCAGCTACCCTTCTTATACAGCCCAGGCCCACCTGCCCAGGGATGGCACTGCCCACAGTGAGCTGGGTACTCTTTCATTAACCAGCAATCAAGAAAACACCCCAAAGACATGCCCACAGGCCAATGTGATGGAGGGAATTCCTCAATTAAGGTTCCCTCTTCTCAGGTGTCTCCAGTTGGTGGCAAGTTGATGAAAACTTACCAGCACATGCACCTTGGAAAGACTGCAACCTGTGAATTTTGTTATTCATTCAGCAAGCATTTATTAGACCCTAGCTATTTAAAATACTATGACAACTTCCAAGGGAACTTCACTTACAAGGACTTGAAATACAACTCAATTTCCTCTTTACACCAAAGAAAATTGTAGTTCAAAGAAAATAATAGCTTATTCTGGATTCAAAAGCTGAAATGCAGAGAGCCAATGTCAGGCCTCTCAGTCCACAGTGGGATGAGAAACACAAATCAGTTTTTCAACTACCAACAAAATGCTTTGCATTTATGAAACAAACCAAATGGCACAAAATAACTCATTTCAGTGTTGGGGATGTAGCTCAAGGGTGGATTGCTTCCTTATATCAGGGGTCCTACGTTCTATTAGGGCTGTGAACAAACAGGTGGTAAAAAGAAAACCAAGGTCATTTCACACAGCACTGTCAAAGCCTTTCTGCTATAGCCTTCACTCTGCTGGAGCAGAGCGCCCTTCACTGCTGACCAAATGCCTCTTGCAAGGCTATGCTAACATTTGTATCTGTGTGGAAGCAAATCTGTAATAACCAGTCATAACTCTAAAAGACACCAGGTCTATTTCATCTGTGTGGCAACACAACGTTTGTCGCTCAGATGCTTTTTCTCTGGTCTTCTGGCTACTTTCCTGGATGAGCATGTGACTAACTATCTCTGGGCTCACTGCTTACTAGCTGTTCAGTCAGCCCTTCCTTCATGGCGTACTGAACTGATCCCATATTCCTTCCTGACCCTTTATGATGTGGAAGTATGATAAGCTGGCCGGTATCACATTCTGTATCTGCTAGTCTAAGCTTACAGGTATTGAACTGACTAAAGCAGAAAATAAGAAATACATCTCTTTGACTGCAGCGCAGGTGAGAAACTGAAACCTTCCATTAGACAGTAATAAATGAGGAACTCAAGGGCTCCAGGAAGTCTTGAATTCTAGAGAGGAGGAAAGCACCTCTGTGTAGATCCCTCAGCTGCCCAGTGGCCTGGCCTCTTACCCAGTCCCACTATGTCATAGGGACATGCAGCCCAATCTGAGTTCCTTCTCAGGCAGCAAATTGCAAGAAAAACCCCAAACAAACAAACAAACAAACAAAAAAAAAACCATTCAATTAATTCAGTAAGAGAATTCAATGTATATTGAAACAATTAAGACCAAAATACAACCCATGGGAAAACTTACATGATGGAGGGTTTCCAAGATCCTTAAAATGAGTTGTTACACATACTAATTCTGTTTCTATCTTTAAGTTCAGTTCTCCATTTAGGTTTGCTTCAATAACCTGCAAATTGAGTAAGATTGAACACTGTGACATAGTTCTTAAAAAGGCAGGCAAAAGGGAAAAAAACAGAAACATGAGGATCAGCTTCTACAAAATCCAAGTGACAAGAAAACACCACAGAGCCTCAAAACACCTCAGGGCACTGAGGTCCCCATGGTATCAACAACAAAGATAAGTTCTGAGAGTCTGGAACTCAGAGACCCCCTAAAACCAAGAAGAGGGCCCCCTGGTGGAGAAATCAGTAGGGGGATAGAGAGGGACCTTGCCTGACCTTCAGTCAGGGCTCTGGAGGCCTGGGCAGAGCAATGGGGGTTGGGGGGACCTTACAATAAACTCGAAAGAAAAGGACTCTGACTGAAGAGGATGGATGCTCTAGCAGGTAGGATGTGGTGGTTTGAATTAGAATGTCCCCCATAAGCTCCAAGTATTTGAACACTTGGTCCCCTGTCCATGGTGCTGTTTGGGGAGGGTCATAAAACCTTGAGGAGGGGCCTTGCCAGAGGAAGCATGACACTGGACACTGGGGGCGGGCTCTGAGAGTTCTTAAGCCTTGCTGGAGTTTCACTTTGGCTTTCTGCTTCCTGTGCTTGCTGGAAGATATGAATGTGTAGCTCTCTGCTCCAGCTACCTCCTGCCACCATGCCTCCCCGCCATTATAGCTTCTCCCTCTGGAACTGTAAGCCAAATACACTCTTCCTTCTGTAAGCTGCCTGGTCATGGTGTTTTATCAGAGGAACAGAGAAGTATACACAGGAAAAGGAAGGTTATGTGACAGGGAGGAGCAAGAAAGATGCATCTCAGGAGTGTGGAGACGCCTCCAGAAGCTGTGTCTGTGTTTTGTGGTTCCAAAGAATAATGAGACTATCTTGGTCCACTTCCACATCTACAATGAAACCTCCTCCTAAAAGAAACAAACCATCAGTGAAGGATCATGACCCCAGACAAAGCCATTCTGTATAGAAAAAAGACGTAGTACTGGCCAAGCAGCACACCTAGAAACCTGAAGACATGCACAGACAGAGCGAAAC